TTTCTTTCTTTCTTTCTTTCTTTCTTTCTTTCTTTCTTTCTTTCTTTCTTTCTTTCTTTCTTTCTTTCTTTCTTTCTTTCTTTCTTAGTTTCTTCCTTTCTTCCTTTCTTTCTTCCTTCCTTCCTTCCTTCCTTCTTTTTCTTCTTTTTAGTATACATCACTATTTTAGTCGTTCTCCTTATTTCACAACTTCTATGGCAAATATTCACGTGATAAATCGTGTATACGATTGGAACTTTCATCGCATAAGCCAACTTACTCGTTGATTCAAGCGCGTTTGTGATTTTCTCAAAACTATGATAAAACATGAAGTGTTTTTTCTTTTATTTTCCTTTTGTTTTTTTTTTCTTATTTGTTACGTGCAATATTTTCTATTAGATAGTATCGAAAGTTTCTTCAGAAAATTTACGATCGCTGTTCTGATAGATAGAACTGCGGGGCAAGAGGATAGGAGAAAGAAATCATAATTAAGACGTTTTAATAGGTATCGTCGAGGAGAATATAAATGTCACAAACTTTTAAATTGCTTTTTCTCTAAACTTTTAGCATTTTCCTGAACGAGAGAAGAATTCTAGATAAATAAAAGAAATATTGTTTGCATTAAACGAATATTATGATTGATTTATTCTGGACTCAATTAATATCAAATGACAATTTATCTTTAATGCAAAGTTTTTTTTATTTTTTTTACTAAACAAACATTCTAATTACAAATTTATATGATGTTTTTTTTCTTTTTTCCTTTTTTTATATTACGAAAATATAGGTATATTTTTATTTATCTAATGGGATGATTTATTTCAAAGATAAAACGAAAAAGACAAGACAAAACAAACGTTCTAATCGATCACGGAAATACTTTTGTCATTTGAATCGTCTCGATAATATAAATGCAAACAGACGTATGCCTCTATACATATACATATTATAAATATTTCAACCGTTGTAAAACAGAAATTAAAATCTTTGTAAAAAGAATTACATTCGAATCCTTTATTCGTATTTATCGAAGTTACCTCTTTTTCTATGCGGAATGTAAAAAATCTTATGTCGATTTACGGTAAATACGACAAAAAAAAAATCAGACATACATGCGTAGAGAGAAAGAGAGAGAAAAAGAGAAAAAAAAAGAAATATCCGTTGTTGGTTCTTTGTTTTCCGTTACACAAGTTAATTTCGTGTTCGACCTCTCGAGAAATGCCTGTTCCTTGGAAAAATGCCAAAATAATGTCCTATCGTGTTATAATGAAAAAAAGATAGAAAAAGAGGAGAAAGTGAGATGAAAAATACGTAAATGTTACAACAAAAAAGAAGAAAAAAATTTGTTTATTATAGACTTATAAATATACGTGAGTGGGTTGAACCTAATATAAAAAGTAATTTTTTTTGTTTTTCGATTAAAATAATTTTTATTTAAAAAGAAAAAGAAAAGATTATTTTGTTGAAACTTGTATATATATTCAATTTATTCTATACTAAATTTATTTTTCTAATATAAATTTTTCTTTTTTCTATAAATAAAACTATATTATATAACATAAATTTTTATTTCTGTGAATTTTCACGAATTTTCCAGACAACTTAATTAATATTACCAGTCGTAACAAAAAACTTAATAACAAACATTTTTAGTGTTTTATACCAAAATATTTGAGAACATTATCGCAAAATATTATTTTGAATTTTGAGGGTAGTGTTGTGGATAGTACGGAGAAGAAGAGGTGTGTAAAAAGAGGAGAAGGAGGAGGTGGGCTCAATATTGTCCCCTGATCGTTACACATTTATAACATTAATTCTGCAACAAGTTTTAAAAGCATTGGACATAATGGTAGAATGAAACACACACACGGATGTTAGATCATTATATAAATATAGTAGCCAAACACTACTCGCGCATTATCGGATTAAAGGGGAAGCATTAAGTCATTGGCCAATTATCTCTTTCTCTCTCTCTCTCTCTCTCTCTCTCTCTCTCTCATCTCCTCTCCTTCTGCTTTTCCTTCTCTCTCCCTCTATCTTTTTCTATCCACTCTTGTTGTTGATTTCACGTGTAGTAAAACGTTTGAAAGTAGTATAACTGCTAATTAGAAATTAAAGAGAATTCGTGAACTCTATCTAGCATTATATCTATCTTGATAACTTTACTTTCCGGATTATTCGTTAACTTTCTGAATCCAATCAGCGCGTGGGTTTAATCAAATGTTGAAAAAAAATATAGAAAAGAATAGAGGATAGATAAATAGATAAGTATATTCTATGTTTTCCTTTGTGGTTTTTTTTCTTTTTATCTTTTTTAATAAAGAATTAAGGGAAAGTACGAATTGGTATTTAGCCAATGAATGTAAAGCGGTGAGTCCAAGCACGAAATTCATCTCGTTTCACCGATATTTGCGGTCGAAGCACGAAAGGTGTGGAAGAGGGATGTGGAAGAGAAGGAGGAAAACGAGAGGGCACAGAGTAAGGGATAAGAAGGGGGGGAGTTGGTTTGGTTCGACCGAATCGCCATACACGTTGTTCCCTCACACGCAAACCACATTTTCGACTATCGACGTTGTATTAGCTAACTTCGAAAGGATTAATTTCCTTAATGTGTAATTAATCGTTACACCCGAGAATTATCATCATCTCCCTCTGATCGTACTGAACGGACGAACAAATACAATCTTTTTTTTGATTTTCGAATAAATGTTGAAAAAGTTCGCTTGAAACTTCAGATTTTATTTGCTAAGATTCCTCGAAGAAAAAATAAGTTTATTTCAACCTCTTATGCAATTATTTTTTGTAAATATAATTAAATTTATAAATGATATATTTACTGATTTCTTCTTTTTATTTTTTTTTTGTTTTCTGCTTTTTTTTGTTTTGTTTTGTTTTTTTAAGGAAGATTCTTTAACAAGGTGTGCGTATACCTTTCATTGACTGTTTCTTTTACTTCATCTTCTTCGTCTTCTTCGTCTTCTACTTATAATTCCTTTTAATGAACTAATATAGCAATAGCGAACGTTTAATGATATGATTTAATATTCTGTGAAGATATATCGTATCTTTCGTAAACATGATTTGCCCGGAAAGAACGTATTTTTGAAGTTATGTTAGAGAAAAGTGCACGATCACTTACTTTATATATATATATATATATCGTTCACTAACTCGACACGAAAATCGTGCTGCTTGGCTCGGTATTGAATAACAGTAAACATCAACTCGGTTATTTGAAACAAGTACTAAAGGATAAAGGCATAAGAGATATAAAGTCGATAACTAAATGTTTCTTCGTGAAATAATTCTTTCTAGCGGGATTATCCTAAAACATAACTTCTTCTTCTTCTTCTTATTATTATTATTATTATTATTATTATTATTATTATTATTATTATTATTATTATTATTATTATTATT